ATTTTAAACAGCAAATGCTATGTAGACAAGGAATGCCAAATCTTAAAAAATAAAAACAAATATGTCTTGTATCAATGCAATAAGTCTACCTACCAAATTGTCTCGTGCGTTCACATCTGCACCAGCTGTCAGTAAAGCTGACACAGTTTCATGGTTACCTCTCAGGGCTGCCCAGTGCAGGGGAGACTCTTGCTGTAAAATACATCAGATGGCTTTCAGCATGACGACAGGTTGGACAAATGTGCAGTTATTTTGTTGACAATTCTAACAAAATTTAGCAAGTAAACCGTTATGTAAAAGATGAATATCAAATCTTATAAGACATACAAATGTTTCGGAAATAAAGTAGTCAGTCCACCACCGTTATCGTTTCGTGCACATCTGCACCAGAACAGACAAAAGTGCCCCATGAAATGTTGGTAACGGTGTTTGTGCTTGTGATATTTTAAACAGCAAATGTCAAATCCTACAAAATGGCACAAAGATAGTTCTTGTATCACAGCAATCAGTGTACCAACAACCATGTTCTGTGCTTTCACATCTGCACCAGCTGTCAGTAAAACTGACACAGGTCCCGTTGCACTGGGCAAAATAAATTTGTCGGGCGCAAGCTGTACGACACATTTTTATCCGCCATGTAGAAAGAAGGAGGTATTCGGGCAGATTCGGGCTAAAAGCATGCAAAAGGAAGGGTACAACGAAAACAAGTCCATAAAATTAAGCACTTCTAACGAAGAAACAAGGACTCAAACAACCGGAGCGGCAGGGTCAGGGTTCATGTGACGCAGCGCGACGCAGCCTGCCACAGCCCGCCGCAGCAGTGGCACGCAGCGGGAGCCACAGTCCCTGTGTGTAAACCGAAAAGTCTCCTAGGCGATTTGGCGCCCGCCGCGCGTTTTGACGCCCGACAGATTTTTGTCCAGTGCAAACCGGGCCACATGGAGGGCATTATAGGCTGTCTGGTGCAGGGGAGAGTCTTGCTGTAAAACACATCAGATGGCCGTCAGCATGACAACAGCAAGAACAAATGTGCACTCATGGTGACTGTTCCAAGGGTAGTCAGCACATAAACAGCTATGTAGAAGATAAATGTCAAATATTACAAAATGGTACAGAAATATTTCGGTTTGGCCCTCCTGCCTCTTGATTTTCATGGCACAGTCTTAAATGTTTCATCACCATATATAAGCAAAGTGACAAAAGACATGGCAACAAACCAAAGGGCCATCAGCAGCATTAGGGTTGACTCCCTCCGCTAACAGCTGCTTCACTCTGTCCGTGTCTCCTTCCCTTGCAGCCTTCCGCAGCGCCTATAGCGGCGGCAGACAGGAACAGGAGAAACACCTGTCAGCACTCAGTCAATCAGAACAACACTCAGCATGTGAGAAGATTCAACACCTATCCCTTCATTTATCCGTCATACTGATATTTCACTTCCTTTCATGTCTCTCATTGTAAAGTTATAAAAAGATGTAGCATTTATCCCCTCTATTTGTGCATAGCTCACAAATGTTTATTGTTTAACGGCCTATAGTATACAGACACATAACATGGCACAAACACATTTGAAAACAAACATCAAAGTATGTACAGATAAATGTAAAAAAAAGACTACCGAGCTGTCCTGTCGCAAGGAGGCCACCTTACGGTGGGCGGACCATCTACATAAGGCTAGAGAAAAAGGCCTGTTATAGATATACACCACCATATGTACTGTGGGACTTGTCTGTGTGTAACATCACTTCTATTTTTAAAATGTTTTCTTTACTCTACCTCCTCGTCTTCCTCCTCGTCCTCCGAACTCGACTCTTCAGACCCGGAATCCTCTGACCCGGACCCCTCGTCTTCCTCTATTGTCTCCTGTTCTCTTCCGTCCATGCCTGGTCTGACCCTACAGATAGATACACACCACCTGCCTAGTGACACCTGTCGTAACTAAGACTAGATGGATCTAGTGCCTTCCTGTAGCGCAAAAACAGACACACAAATATATCATTTCTCTCCCTAAACAATATGATGGTAGTGGAACAGACCGAGCATCATGTACAGCGCGCTCAGGTTTACCCAGGATATACCTGATTTACAAATTATCATGGCCGCTAAAGCGTTTCCGAACACTGTAAATCAAACTGTACCAACAAAGGAGCGATAATTTCACAGCCATACAGACATAGCGTCAATACTTTCTAATTCATTCTACATCAACAGTTTATCTGTGTGCTGAAGGGCTGTGGTAAAAGCTTCTTTAGTTTTTGTACTTCAGGCCCTGCTACGTATGATGCACCCGTTACTTCCGGGTTTACCTGAAATTTTCCAGGTGTGCCTTGTGAGCGATTGGTAACCTTTTCCCAGTCTTTAATATCTCTGTAAGGTTGTCGGACGCTCCAGGAACTGAAGCCTCTTGGTTCTGACGTCACAAGACGTACAGGTGAGTTCTCACGGCGTCTTGAAGACAGAGCAGGTCCGTTACGTCCGCAGGTGAGAAGGGCAAATAAGCTTCGGTAGGTCTCCCATGATTCATAGCGCACGCGATGACGTACTCCGTAGTAACGGGGTGAATGACCTCAGGACGATTTGCCGGTATATTGGCTGTGGTTAGTGTGGGACGGGTATATCTTGGATGATTTTTAACCTTATATAATATATCGTGTATATCGTGTATATCGTAGATAAATGTTAACCTTATATATCGTGTATATCTTAGATGTTTCTTATACTTATATATCGTGTATATCTTAGATGTTTCTTATACTTATATATCGTGTATATCTTAGATGTTTCTTATACTTATATATCGTGTATATCTTAGATGTTTCTTATACTTATATATCGTGTATATCTTCCCCAAGTAATTTAGCACAAAGCTTTTACAATACATTCCTTCATTCTTTATTTCAGGTAAAAACCCATTTAACACATGTGGGTTTAACTCATCATTTAACTCATCATTAAAATAATACAAAAACTCTACAGACATACAAATAAAACAGGAAGAAACCTAAAGCATAATAAATGGTAGGTCTTCCGAAAGAATGAATTCCTGTAAAAGACATCGGAATGTATTAAGCGACGGATATTTCGATTGTTGCGTTGTTGGAGGAAAATAATCTTTTTAGAAAAGAATAACAAATCCTCCTCTACCTGGTTTCAAATGTGTCAATTTAGTGACAAACATTTCATTCGCACTGCATCGCCGAGGTGAATTCATAATGATTCTAAAACAATTGTTATAAGCCACTCGGCACTTCGACAGAACACCTGACAATACATGACTCTTCCACTGAATTCAACCATTGCCACTTTTTATACATGATAATGAATGAAGACCTTTATTGTACATGTTTGCCCCATTGGGCTATGCACAGGTCACATGTTAAGAAATTTAAACTCTGTATAGGTGTAAATATTAACACGTTATTTCGACTTCCTCTCGCTTCTCGGGTATTATTATATGATTTGGAAGTTATGTATTTTAGACTGAGCAATAGCACTGTGCAGTGCAGTGGTTAGGATTCAATCATTGATCGTGTGCTAGCGTGTGTTTGCACAAGCTCTCTCGTTAATTGAATGAATGAAGACCTTTATTGCACATTTCTGCCACACTTGGCTAAGTACAGATCACAACAAAACAAGATGAATGAACACGGTTAACAGATACAAAATTAATTAAATAACTATCGTTATATAAATTCAACTTCTCCTCGCTTTTCGGTTATTGTAGAGATAAAGGTACAGATCTGTTTTCCGATGGGTGGTTTGTCTAGTCGCATTAGGAATATGAATTTTTCTACACTACTTAAATGCATGAAATAGGGGAATAGGTGTTGTACCAACATATACAGTTCATTTCTCTCTTTGCTATACAGTTCACATTCTGTTACAAAATGGCTAATGACCCCTACCCCTTGGGGGCGGCAATTTTGAGGCGGGCGGGCGGCCGCCATGAGCGCGGTTAGTCATGTGCTAATCATGTGATAATGAACAACTAATAGACCTCATTCCAGATACAGTCGCCATATATATTCCGTGATTCTATTCTCGCGAGAGCACATCCCTGGCACGAAAGCGAGGCCCCGTGGGTTCGCGGATTCCCTGTAGTACTGGCGTTCTAACACAGGGCAAAGACCGGTAATGGACTGTCCCATTGAAATGTATGATATATGGAAAACATGTAAGAAAGAAGGTGTGAAAAGTCACCTGCCAGAGTGAAACTGCATCAAAAGCACACATTCATAGGGTCACTCGGCCTCTAAACTGTCAATTTTGTTGATACAAAAAAAATCCTATACTGCTAAAGACATTTAAACGCAAGCACAAACTTTCAGAAGTGACCTCTGACCTCTATCACCAGCTGTAGATAGCATGGAAACTCAGGACCTCTTTTCTGGCCTGGACACACCAAACATGACACAAACTCCATTTTGTTTTACATAATCAAATGCAAATAACCCTTACCTATAACATCCAGCTCCAAAAAAGCAACAGATCCCAACATTAAGAAATTTTATACTGTTTTTGTACATGCAAAAATCTTACACACTTGGGGCCCTCTGGGCATGCGTGCAATCCTGGCATTTGCCCCACAGTCGATGGCGATGCTCCAACGATCTCCAACTTCAACGCTGAGTTTTGCCCGTCCAGTGTAAAATATAGTTTTTGTGAAATAGAACGAATCTAAACATTGAGTTGCCGGGCGTGATGCAAACAAAACAAACCTCATACAATAGCCAATTATTATGGGTTCACCACACCACGAAGTGGTGGTGAACCCATATTGCTTTTTCTGATGTTTCTTCTCCTTCTCCTTCTCCTCCTCCTCCTGCCATATCTTTAAATGGATTTAGCTTCTTCATTTTAGGGCCTAAGGTCCTGAAAATTGGTATGGAGGTACAGTGGGCAAATACCCCTAGGCGTTTTTTAAATTTTTGTGATACAGGCTTTTAGAATGGTTTTATTTGAGTGTTATAGCAAATGTATTACTGTGTTAGTGTGCCGTGTTTACCACGTCTGGGCATGAGTCATCACAATGGAATGCAGGGCATCAACCAATAGGCATGCAGCTTTCCTCTATACTTCTTGCTGATTGGCTGTTGGGATTTAACTTGATTAACACCCGCACAGAGCATTTCCACCTGCACAGAGCATTTCTTGCTGATTGGCTGTTGGGATTTAACTTGATTAACACCTGCACAGAGCATTTCCATACTGACAGTATGTCTTTATTCAAGTGTTTTGGTAGGTATTTCAAGCTTTTCTGCTCCAGCATTGGAATGCGGGGCTTGAACGTTTTTTATTTTATTTTGAAAATCAACAGTTTGCATTATGCAATTAAAAATCCTAACCAATAAAGTAGGGAATAGCTATCCAACTGTTGTTTTAGTTGTATGTTACTTCATACTATAGTTATATCAATGTAAATCATTGTTTTCCCTTGTGTTTCTCATTCTTTCCCTGCCATGTGGTAAAATGTGGTGAACCCATCGCTGTATTTGCTCCAAAGCAAATATTGGCCTTTCTAGTTAACTACTGTAACCACAAGGATAAAGATATTTAAACATCATAACGGCATCTTAAAACTCGTTCCAAAAGGCGATGTTTTTTTCCGATGCCCCCCTCCCCATTTGATCGACATACATTTCCCTCGTTGTGTGCACACTGCAGAACCAAAACACGGTGAACACACGAAAAAAAAAACTGCCTGGACAAAACGGAAGTAAAGTTCAAAACGATTTTACTCAAATAAATTGCCCCCCCCCGTTTACCTATCAAATATATGTTCCAATCATCATGGCCATGAAAACTTCACCTTGTAAACTTTACAGTACAGTAGCGACACCTGGCGAAATAGAGCTGAAGCGTGTGAGATTTTGCTTTACGGAAAATGACCGTTTTTTGGCGACGCCTCGGGAATTTTTACGAGCGTGTTTTTAAAGTGGCATCACTTAGATTTTTAAGTTTTGTCGAAATACTTTCTGAGTACATTTTTGGCTGAAATAATGCGCTGTTAATCGTTTTCAGCGGTATTTTTTTTTTGCCTGTGGCCAGTTCAGGGGTCCCGGGGGAGATCTGTAAAGCGCAGCTGCCTCGCCAGGTGGCACCTGTCCAACAACAGCTGCAGGGGTCACCTGATTCATGCCATGACGTCACAACGCCTTTGACTAGAGCACGAGACCGCTGCGAAAGTGGGCATGTAAAATGGTTTACCGGCGCATTTAAGCCCCGTGTGGTGAATTTGGGGCCTTAATAGATGTAATTTGAAGCATGTAAATATTTTGGAAGGCAGCTGTACCGTATACTGTTGCCTCACAGAAATGGAATCTGGCACCTGTGTCAGGTCAGCTGTAGGAAGTCTACCACCAGCTGAATCAGACAATAATTAGTGTCCTATATATACAGCAGTGACTCATTGTACAGTCGTGTTCGCTTCGGCAACACATATACTAAAATTGGAACGATACAGAGAAGATTAGCATGGCCCCCTGCGCACAAGCTGGGGGATAAGGGTCTCTATCACGGGGGGAAAAGAAAGGAAAGGAAGGGGGAAAAGGGGGGGAAAGAGGAGAGAAAAGAGGAAGGAGTTTTATTCTATTAATTGTTGAATAATTGTTGAATGATAATTCCATAATTGATGATTTTCATGTTTTTGAACTGAAACACACACACACACACACACACACACACACATACACACACACATACACACACACACACACACATACACACACACACACACACACACACACACATTATAATATTCTCCTAGAATACTAATACCAGAAAAGAAAGGTACAGATCTAAGCATCAAAAACTTACTGTGAATTTGAATCTACGTGCTGGGTTCAGGTTCAGCCTCAAGGGGGTGATGGCTTGACTTTGCA